ACGGAGGGGTTTAAAGGTGTGCCTCGGGGAGCCGATGGCGAGTCTATCAGCACGAGAGCGGTGGCTGCGCGTACGCAGGCTGAAGAGCTGATGTTCAGCCAGTGCACTGCCAAGTGCGCCCAAGGGATCCTGTGGATTCCAGCTGGAGAGTATGTGTGAGGCAACAGCCACATCTGTGATGCCAGAGTGAGCAACAGCTTTGATTTCAGAGTCAGGGTAGGGAGGATCCCCCTAACCACCACTCCGCTCTATCAAGGTACCTGCTTCCACTTGAACATTGCTGGCAGGAGCGCAGTCAAGCAGCAACACCACGAGAACGGGGTACCCAAATGGGGAACTTGTTGCATCCACCGGCCTGTCTTCCCACCACAGCAGGCTATGGTTTTTTCAAAACTGACTGCGTTTTCGTGAGAAAAGTTAAAATTACAGCGGGTCAGTGAGATTGGGGAGAGAAAGCCGAGCAGTCTTTCTTAACTGTGGTAAGGTTTCAAGCTAAAAGCTCAAAATTAAGGACTGCCAGGATTCAGATTGCACAAGTAGCTTCAGTTTGGGTACAAGTTAGCTTTTAAAGCTAAATGTTGTACAGCTTACATGATTTTTCTTTAAGTCTTTAATTTCTTATAAGGTAAAATAAAAATTCAATCATGTGACTCCATTAGTTTTTCAGCAGTGCTGAAACTTTTGATTTACCACAACAGTCTCTGCTGCCACAACATCTTCCTGATGGATTTAACAACACAGAGAATTATTTACATATGAACATGCTAAATTCAGTTCCATATTGCGGAAGGTGTTTTTGTCGTGGTTTTGGGCTGTTGAGCTCACGCTTCCTAGCCTGTCCCTATCCTCCAGAATGCTCACTTTCTTCTAACTTGTGAGCTATTTCCCAAATCCCGTTCATTTTTCCAGCTGAATTTCTGTCCATCCATGTAGCTGGTTTTGTTGTTATTCCCAGTATATTGCACCCACACCACTTTTTCTCCCTAGACCTCATAACACAGGCAAGGTAATTCTGTCTTGTTCTTCCAGCTGTCTTGACACTAAGGTAGTGGCTGCACATCCAATCGATGCTTGATTTCATGGCAGGACTTTCCTGTAGCCAGGAAGGAGCGTGGAATAAGAAGTGCCTCCCTACCTCTGTATCCCCGCGGTGGAGCATGGTAGGGTCTAACAGAATGCAAGAGCGACGGATGGAGGAAGTAAGCTGCCTGTGGCAGTATCTTTGGGGAAATCAGGTCCCTGAGAGACCTTCCTGAGCATGTGCAAACTGCACATTTTTTAAAAAGTCCGCAACTGGTAAGTTTGCATGAGGTCATCAACCCCAAAGCATGAGGCTCTAGCATATACGGTGTAAAAACAAATGTGAAATTAATGATGGCACGGTATTTCCTCTAAACTTGCTCTAAAAAGTGTCTGAGCCCCTTTTCTTCTTTTTTTTTTTTCTTTTTAAAATCAAAACCATCCTAAATTTGAAACTTATAATCGAGAATCTCAGCTTTAAAAATTCAACTGTTACATCTTTTCATTCAGAAAAATAAGTCCTGTGTGGAAAATGGCAGGCTGCTTTGATGACATAAAGTCAGAATTATTTATCACAGAATCATAGAATGTTTTGGGTTGGAAGGGACCCCTAGAGGCCATCTAGTCCAACCCCCCTGCAGGAGCAGGGACACCACTAACCAGATCAGGTTGCTCAGAGCCCCATCCAACCTGGCCTTGAATGTTTCCAGGGATGGGGCCTCCACCACCTCTCTGGGCAACCTGTTCCAGTGTTTCACCACCCTCATTGTAAAGAATCTCTTCCTTATATCCAGTCTAAACCTACCCTGCTTCAGTTTAAAGCCATTACCCCTTGTCCTGTCACAGCTGGCCCTACTAAAAAATTGTCCCCATCTTTCCTATAGGCCCCCTTTAGGTACTGGAAGGCCGCAATCAGGTCGCCCCACAGCCTTCTCTTCTCCAGGCTGCATCGTAGTATGAATGGCACAATCCTGTCTGATCATCCTTAAAGCTCCATACTGCCTAAAAAGCTGTGCTTTAATATTTCTCACTTCAACACTCATTTAAGTGTTTCAATATTTCTGTTGTATTGGAATACAACTGCAAAAGAGGGTGCATAGAGGAGACTTTTTTCCCATTAAATTCAGAGCCACTAAGTTTTAGGAAGCTGGAGTTTCTCTTTGTTTTTCAGGGCTGTATGAAATCTCGCTGCTTCTGTTGTGCAGGTACCACGAGTAGCTGTAACTTCCCCCCACACTTCCTGAATATTTCCTTACACATTGTTTTCATTAAAAAGAAAAGCTCCTTCACGTGTGCAGTACTAATGAGGAGACTGCGACTTGGGCAGACACTGAGGTATTACTTCCTGCAGCCTTGCCAATCCAAATACATTTCCTAGAACAAGCGGAGTAAAATTCCACTTACACAAAATAGCTTTTCCACGCATTCTTGTTAGCTTACCGGACTTTTTTCTTTTGCTGCTTTCGATTCTGGATAATTCTTAGAATGGCGTCTTCTTCATAAGTATGTCCACAGACTTTGTTTCGAACCGGCCTCTTCATTTCCATCTGTAATCGATAAGGTTTGATTTAAAGGAACTGATAACACCCGTGAAAATGCTTCTTATGAGATTTCATGGAAAACAGCAGGACGCGGCATTCCACTCAAATTACAGGGTCAGGTCCTGCATGGTCAATGGCATTCCTACTTAGGCGTTTTTTTTTTCCCAAGCAATGTTGCTTGTCTCTGATAACATTTGTAGTTTATACTGCCTGATTTTTAACAAGTATTGCAGATTTGTAATAAACAGTCCAATGAAGAACGTGAAATAACTATTTCCCAATCGATTATGGTAGCAGTAATAGCATACCTGCGTAATGGGGCAAATAAAGTTCATCTGACTCTGAGTCACGGCGATGTCTTCATCGATTTGTTCAATGGCCTCATTACCATTATCTGATTGATGACAAACTATAATGGGAAACAAGACAATTTTCATTTCATATTTAACATAGATAGTCAATACTTAAAATAAGCAAATAAAATCCAGCATTTGCCAAGCACTATCTCACAGTGATATCTAAAATGCCACAACATATTTCTGTACCACTCCTTGAATAAGATACTGCAAAAAATACTGTACAATAGTCTGTTAGAAAATGTGGATTTTTAAATGGTAACCACTTTCTGTGTGTGTGTGTGTGCCTATTTATAGCCATTGCTAGAAAGGAGGGCTGGGAAGGAAAGCAAGCTGGCTTAAATATATGCAAAGCCTTTGGTATTCTCTGTTCAAGTTCACCAAAACCAGTAACTTGCAGATGAGTCCCCAAAAATCTCACAGAGGATGAGGTGGAGCTTTTGCAGATTCGGCAGTCCTAACCCTCAAGATCAGTTTGGGTTTGAATGTCATAAATGGGCTTGCTATATAGCCCGTATGCACAGTATGGACTTTAAAAGGAATTTGTACTATTTATCATAATGCATCATTTGTGAAGTGATGCCGCTGTATCTTAACAAGGCTATCATTAGTGAAAAACAAAAGCCAAGGAAGTATTATTTGAGATGGACAATAGAAACGTTACTGAAGCAACCTTAAGGAAGAGGGGCAGAATGAAATACTGAAATCTCCCGGAAAACACCTGATGGCCCAATGCCAGGGAATGAGGGGCAGACAAACAAGAAATCCACCTCGAGCTGGAGGAGATGCAGGTCCCCACCTCTACCAGGAGAAGGCAAGGAGTAAGCCACTCCGCGTACCCAGGGGCATGCCAGCCCAGGGTTCCGTGCAGAAACTAATTAGCTAGAGCTGAAAGCTGAGACTCAGGAGCAGCTAAGGAGGATATATATTGCTAAGTATAACCCTAACAAATGTACACATGTTGTTTTATCTTTTCCTAACTTCGCTCTGTTATTGTGAATCTAGGCTTTCAGTTGAACACCTTTGCTTATCTTCAAATCTTATCTGGTAATAATAGCAAACACCTGCCATAACTTTCCATTCCTTTGGGGGAGTTCTGCAATGTTTCTGCAGCTGTGCCCTGGGGTGTTGTCCTCAAGGTGTCCCAAACTGAGCAGAACATTTTTCTCTCCAGCTGCACAAGTGAGATTGCAATGTAGCAGCACAGGGTTTGGAGAGGATGAAAGCCTTCAGTGGCCTGCATTGGCTTTGGCTGCCAAGGGGGCAGCGAGAAACACAAGTGAATGTGGTGGGTTTAGGGTTACTTCATGATTTGCCTTCTACAAAGTCTCAGCCTTGGCTCCCTTTGCTGCTATTGCACACTATCAGCCGATCTTTGCATCTTCGCATCCCTGGTATTCAGTCTTCCACATCTGTTAAGGACCAGTGTTTCCTTAACTTATGGTCAGTCCTGCGTGCCTGTATAATACCATCACCTTCCGGATGATAACAGCAGGCATCACTCTTGGAGCAATCACAGTCTCTCACACCCAGTTTAGACTGAGCACACTGCCATGTCAGCCCGCACATTTCTGGTTGAGGTACTCTTGGCATCAGTATTGCACCCATCGCTCCACCACAGCACCTCTCAGCATGCTGGTTTTATTTGCATATTTTTCCTTCCTCCTTAACAGAGCTTGCCCTTCTCTCCATTCCAATAAACCAAGAGTTTGCCAAGCATTCAGGGATGTTTCTGACCCGGGTACTCCTGCAAATACTTCAGCAACATTCAGGCAAGCATCACGAGTATTTCTGTTTCTCATACTAAGCCCTCGTTCAATTAATAGGGTGGGGATGCAGGGTGAAAAGAAGCTCAAATGTCCAGAGAAGGAAAAAGTGGGCGCAATTTAACTGTAAATACCAAAACTGCAATGGTATAGACGTCATGAAAAGACTTGCATCAGTTACCAGTTTTCTGAAAAGAAAACCTGTCACATGTTATCCTTGGATTGCTCACATATAAGCTTTACTCTATCATAAATGCATACTATTTTGAAGAAAATACAAATTTGGGAGGAAAAAAGTGAGTTTTTTAATGAAGCTTTTGAAATAAAAAGCAATGGGTGAAATCCCACTGAGGCAGCAAGGCTAAACAATATTGCAAATATTGGCAGGTGCCAGCTTTGGCATGGGCTGCTTTATTTAAATATTGTACTGATTTCTTTCCTATGGGTGATGCCAACAAAGACCAAGAGATTCAGAATTTCCTTAAATTCATGTATTTTCAAATTTTGACACACCACAGCTCTAATCTTTCCTGCTG